AAAGAAAGAAAGAAAAGAGAAAGAAAGAAAGAAAGAGAAAGAAAAAGAAAGAAAGAAAGGAAAGATGTCCAGGCTGCCTTTCGCACTGCAGATTAAATACTTCATCTTCTTTCTGCCAAGAAGCCCCTCTCCCCTGGTAGCAATCTCAGACTTCCTGATCGTCCAGGCCCAGAACCTGGGACGGTCTCCTTCCGTCTCCTTCCACTTGTCCCCCTTCGCTCATCAGTGTCTCTGGGACCTCTTCCCTCCTCTCTATTCCCAAAGTCACTGTCAAGTTCAGAGTCTCTTGCCTGTCTGGCCTCCTGGCTTCCTGAGGAATAGTTCTGAGGTCCTCCCCAGCTGTTTCCTGAGTCCCTAAACACTGCCTCACCTTGTTGCCTCTGTGTTAACTGCCTGCACTCTTCCCTCCATTAAAATGTCAAACCTTCAATGTCAGCTCCCCCAGGAAGTCTCCTAAAGACCCAACTAAGAATGGTTGCTTCCTCCCTGCCCAAGTCACTTTATGTCTCTTCATTGGTGCTTTTTACTTCCTGCTCTGGAAATTGGTGATCGATGTGCTTCCTTCTTCCCCCATTTCCGGGAATTGTGGGCTCTTTGAGGGCACGGTCCCTGTTTAATTCAGCTCTATATACCCGTGATACCTTGATAACAGGAAAAGCTCAATATGTGAGGTTGGATAAATGCGGCGGAGATATGTGACCATTTTCTGGCTTCCTTATAGAGAGCAAATGAAGGTTCCAGACAGCAACCGAGAGCAAGGATAAGCCCCCCCCTTACTCCTCTGTTTAGCACCGAGTCCCCTAGAACCACTTACCAATACAGACAGGCTCCTGGAAATCCCAGAAGGGCTGGGTGGCATTGAGACAGGTGAGAAGCCTGGCACCCTTCAGCTGGTAGCCAGTGGCACAGCGGAAGCGGGCGCTGCCTCCTGGGTGGAGGCTGGTGACAGTCACAGCTCCATAAGCAGGACGCTGGGGAAAGTGGCAGCTCAGGAGGTAGGCTACAGAGAGAAAATGGGTAAGTGTGTGTGTGTGTGTGTGTGTATGTGTGTGTGTGTGTGTGTGTGTGTTGGGGGCTGAGTCATAGCCAGGGGGCTGAGTCCTGCCACAGCCTGCCTGGAGGTGTCACTCAGGACTGGAGGAGGCATCGGGAATTCCAGGAAAGACTCTGATGCCCTCTCCGAAGAGGCCAGCGATATTTCCAGCAGCCTGGGCTGGTGAGTGGAGCAAGCGCAGAGCTGGAAGTTAGGAGGCTTGAGTTCTGATCCAAGATTTCTGATGCTTTTGGCAAGTTTTTCGGCCTTTCTGTGTCCCAGTTTCTCATTTGTTAAATGAGGTTCAAAATGCCGGGCTACCTATGGGGTTATTAAGAGAATAAAGGGGGTAGTATTTTATTCAGCTTGGTATCCCTGGAATCCAGCTGAGAGCACATCTTTAAGGAAGGTTTATTGAAAGACTTAGAGATGTGAAAGCACTTGAAACAATGACAAGTCTATCCTGATGTAAAGTATTGATACTATTTTTCTTATAGGGGACGGCTAGGAATTACACCCAGAACGACTGAAGTCAGACAGTAGAAGCTTTCCCAGTATTCACTGGTAAGGACTGTGGACTTCTTTTAAAAACAGGATGGGGCGAGGGTGGGGAGGTAGGACACGCCTTCCTTGGAAGTTGGGGGAAGGACAAGTTGCCTTGGGAAGCTTCGTAACTTTTGGAATTGTCATACCAAGTATGACCGAATGGTGGCAGCAAATCCCACAAAACAACCTGGAAAGGCCCAGCCCGGAGCCAAGCCCAGGCGATAGCTAAAAATGGGGGTCAGGGATTGGGTCCCAGAGGGGGAAAGAAGGCCAGAGGGGTCAAGGAGAGAGGCCGAGTGAAGGCTTGGGCTACAAAGTCTGAAAACCCGTGAGGGTCGTAAGAGGGACGGGGATTGTCTCGACCGAGGATCTTGGGGTGGAGGGGCCCACCCTTACTGATGGCACCAGGTGGGTGGGAAGAGAGGTCCCGGCAGGTCCAGGCAGGTCCAGAGGTCCTCGGCTAGCCTCTGTGTGATTCGTGTGAATAGAAAAAGAGGTCGCCTCTGGGCAGAACAGGATCCAGAAATGAGTTTCATGATTTTGATCCGTCCTGGCTATCGTCACTGGGTTTGTGAAAAGGGAGAGGATGATTCTTACTCTTCCCTCTCTCATGGCCAATGAGGGGTTACTTGTGATTGGCAGGCACAACAGGGCAGCGCTTAGGGGATGGGTTCTGGGGTCTGACTGCCTGGGTTTGAAGAACACAAGCTCCCCTACTTGCTGTGCCACCTTGGGCAAGTTACCTAACTTCTCTGTGCCTCCGTTTCCTTGTTTACCCACCATTTCGAGTACTGCATCCAGTGTTGTTACATGAGAGGTTAACTGAGAGGACATATGCGTAATTCCTGGCACAGAACAAATACCAAATGTCCCAGCCTGCTGTTATTGTTCGTAATCTCGATTGATAAAAGCACCTCACATCTGCAGGCACCTTCCAGCTTCTAAAATGCCTTCACACTCTTATTTGAGGTCTACAACATGCTTGGGAGGAAGGAAGGCAAGGTATGGGTTATTAACTAGTTTCCCAATAAGGAAAACTGAGGTTCAGAGAGACTGGGGGACTTGCCCTGATCACACAGCCAGTAAGGGGTAGAGAGGGCGCTTGAAGCTCCTGGCTCTAGAGCTCATTGCTTTCCATCTCCTCTCTCCCACCTGCTTCCCCCGGTGAAGCAGAAACCAGGGTTCAGGAGTCAGAGGAACCCATGAGTGATAGGCAAGGCTGCCCTGGGTGGTTGGTGAGGGTGGCCCCTCACAATGACCTGGGGAGAGACCCCCGGCCAGAACGGGATAGGGAAAAGAGTGTGGGGGCACCCCAACCAGAGTGCAGGGAGGGGGGTGACACCCAGACAGGTCTAGGTCATGAGCCAGATGTCCTTATATCTTTCCTGTGGTTCTTATCACAACTCTGGGAAGGAAGGTCCCCCGTTTCATAGATTAGGAAACTGGGCTGGGATGAGGTGAAAGCAGGAGGTTGGGGGCAGATGAGGAAGCCCCCGGACTCCATAGTGGCCACTTCCCAGGAGGAGCGTCCTCCTGTTACCATGACTACTGTTCCCAGGGAGCCTGTATGACTGCAATCTGTTGAGCTATTTTCTCTCTGGCGTCTGTTTCTGGGGCCAAGTCCAGTGCCAGGAATGCTCAGGAGGGAGGAGGGGCATGCCTGGCAGGGCCCTCTGCCTCCTCACACTGCCTGAGGCTGTGGGAGGGGAGTTGGAGCCCAGTTCTGCAGATGAGGCCCTTGTGGGGGCCCATCCTTGTGATCTCCAACATTATCTTGGATAGCTCAGGCAGTGATGTGGGTACTAGTCCCCTCGCCCCCTCTTCTGGCACCCTTTTTCTCCAGCCCCGGGAGACACGCGTGTGAGCACATGCTCCTCCTGTTCCCATCTCTGGGATCAGGGCTAATTACAGCCTATAATTAGGGGAATTACGCTCATTAAGGAAAGAGCTGATCATTGACAAAAACTGGGCCGAGGAGGGAGGGCTTCTGGGAGCTGAGCAGAAGGCAGGGCTGGGCCAGCTCTCCCAGCCCCTCCTCGGGGTCTGTACCCTTCGCTGGGCCTCCAGCTCACTGCCTTTCAGCCACCTTTGTCTGGCCCAACAGAGAGAAGGTCCAGGGTTTTGTGCAAGGGAATTTGCGGCAAGAGAAGGTTACCGTGCCGTGAAATTATGCCCGCTGCTAGGGAGGATTGATGAGCCATTAGGGAGGCTGGCCGGGCCGCCTAGATGCTCACCCTTGTCTCAGCTGGCCCCCTACCTCTGCCGAGCCCCTGGCCAGCCCCTGCCCACCGCCAGGCTCCCTGCTGCCACGCCAGACTGTGCTCCCAGTTTGGGTGGAGAGGCTAGGGATGGGCAAGTGCTTCTTAGGTGGGTTCCAAGCATCCCCATCTCCAGCTCCTGCCCTCCTCCCTGGGCTGTGGACCTGGCAGGGCTGCAGAATCGGTCCCTGACAATGCAGGGCAATGCCATAATTGTTCACACCAATTATTTCCCCATTAGCACTCGCCAGTCTGAACTGGTTACCCTGTCAAGAAGACTTTGCCTGGGGGGAGGGGGCCAGGAGAGATGCTGCTGGAAGAGGGGCAGAGGCAAACCCCCTTTCCTCCCTTTCCCATCCTGCCAGCTCTTTAATACTTGTTTCTGGTTCCTTCACGGACACGCTGAGTTCACGGAACGTGCTAAGTGTTAAGCATTTCACATTGAACCCTTTTGTTTAATCTTCCTCATGACTTTATGGAGTAGGCATATTGGTCACGTGGTACAGCAGTGGAAAAGGAGGGTTAGAGAGGTCCAGTGACCTGTCCAAGGTCAACAGCCAAAGGGAAGGAGATTAAGACACAGATCTGCCCATCTCCTGGGTCTGTGATTTTCCCATTGTATCTTGCCACTCCCCTATTTCCAGAGGCGTTCTGAGCTGACTGGGGCATGAGCCTGGTCTAGGGTGGGTGAGGCGGTTCAGGAAGGCCAGATTGGTTGCTAAGGACCTCCAGATGGTCACTATCAAGCCCCTTTCACCTTGACCCCCTTGCATTTTGAAGAGAGGGCTTCTATTGTTATTGCCTATTTCAGTGTCTGCCTCCCCTAGAGATTCTGAATTCCTTGAGGTCAAGGACTTGGAGGGTTCGTCCTGATATTGCCAGTGTCCAGCACAGCGTGGCAAAGAGCAGATACCTAGGAAGAGTTGACTGGATGAATGAATGAATGAGTGAATGAGTAAGTGGCAATGGGCACCCCTAGGGCTAGCTGGTTCTGTGTCAGGCCCCCTTCACAAACAGTTCTCTAGAGGGTAGTAGGTGGAGGAGGGAAGGTTCTAGAGGTGTCAGATGTGCAATAATCACCTTTAGTTGTACCGAGCGTCACTGGGCGCCTGGGCCTGCCCTCCCGACTCCCCACCCCACACCTATAATAGCACCAGAGATCCCCAGGAGGGCGCCCAGTCTGGGCTGGTTCTTCCCTCAGCTGCCCAGGCCTACCTTGGTAGTGGAAATGGAAGGTGCCAGGCCCAGCAGGTGGTGGTATGCTCTGGAACCTCAGTGCTGCTTGGTGGGTGGGGCTACGGATGACTTGGCCCCTCAGTAAGAAAGACTGGTTGGCCAGGGGCAGCGGGTCAGGCCCCCCCAGGCCCTCCACAGTCACCATCTCCCCCTCTCGGAGGCTGATGTTCTGGACCTGCCATGGGATAGACAGTGCAAAGCGGAGCAGTCAGGCTCCTTCCTGCTGACTGAGCCCTGCCGCCCACAGACTCCCTGGGGCCCCAGGCATGGCCCATCCTCAGGGCCGCTTGGCCACTGGAGCCTCCAGGCTCTGAGCTGGGCACTTGAGCACAGGAAGAGCTCATTTCACTTTCCCAGTAACCCTGAGAGAGGGGATCTGAAGTTCATATCCAAGGTCACATAGAGATTATTAGCAGAACTGGAATTTGTACGCATGTCTTTCCGTCTCCAAAGCTTTTCAGTGACACCAGGACACCAGCTGCTTCCTGTCCCTTCACTTCTCTGGGCTCAGTTTTCTCATCTGTAAAGTAGGCATGGAGTAGGTGTGTCGAACTAGAGGGTGTCCAAGGGCCTGGCCAGCCATGTGAGGTCTTTTAAGCATCAGACCCACGTGCCCAGCTTCTCCTGGACGCCCCCTGTTGGATGCCTCACAGGCACCGCACCCCCAGCCTGCCTCATACTGAGCCACTCTCCCCGCCCGCCTCCACCAGCAGCTTCCCTTTCCATCCACCTGCATGCGCAAGTTCAAAACTGGCATCTTGCCTCCTCCCTTACACCCCACGGCCAATCAGTCATTCAGTCCGGTCTCCTGGACCCAGATCTTTTTACTACTCTTCATCCCCCCTGCCACTTCCCAGCGTCTCGGTACTATTGTTCACCTGGAGTGCTGCAGCAGCCTCCTGGCTGGCCTCCCTGCCTCCAGGGCTTCACCCACTCCTCCCCCCTCATAAATACTTTCTGAACTGCACCCAGCTAACAGCCCCAACCTGTGGTCGACCAACCGAACATAGCGCTGCCTCGCTGAAATCCTTTGGTGGTGCTCCACTGAGCCCTCAAAGCCCCCACGATCTGGTCCAAACACACTGCTCTGGCCCTCAGGGCCCTGCCCACCTTGGCCTCTGCTGACTGCTCAGCCAGCCTCACTTGCCCACACTGCACTCAGAGGCTACACGTGACCTCCAGGCCTCTGGCCATTTGCATATGCAGGAAAAGCCCTCTCCTCCTGCCGTCCTGGTGAAGCTGGTCATTCTTTCAGATCCCAGGACCACCACCCTTAGCCTCCCAAGCCAGGCTAGTCGGTTCTTTTGCCTTAAGCCCTCCCCACCTGTCCTCTCTGTCCTTCTCCATTGAAGCCCAGGGGGGCATTTGGGGTCACAACGCCCTCTTCAATGGCCAATCACAATAAAGATATGTGGAGAGGGGCGCCCGGGTGGCTCAGTCGTTGAGCGTCTGCCTTCGGCTCAGGTCATGGTCCCAGGGTCCTGGGATCGAGCCCCGCATCATCGGGCTCCCTGCTCCGCGGGAAGCCTGCCTCTCCCTCTCCCGCTCCCCCTGCTTGTGTTCCCTCTCTCGCTGTGTCTCTCTCTGTCAAATAAATAAAGAAAATATTAAAAAAAAAATAAAGATATGTGGAGAGAGAGAATGCGTGGACCCCTGGAAGTACATTCTTGGCCAGATCTCTGTGAGCTGAGGAGCACAGAAGATGGATGCTGAGCCCAGGCGGGTTGGAGGGGACAGCCGCGCTCTGGGCCCCTGAGACCCTGGGTGCTGACAACAGATGTGCCCCGGGGACTTCTCTGCCCGGGAGAAAAGACCCAGTGGGTCTTTGGAGCCCAAAAGAAGCCTCAAGGCAGGATGCTAGGCCAGCAGTGTTGGCTCCCTGTGAGGAGCCTCCCTTATAGGGCACGTTCGGGTGGAGGCTGCCTGACCATCTGCTGGGGACACACTCCTCAGGGAATTCCTGCCGCAGGCAGACGCTGGATGAGGTCCCTTCAAACTTGGAGATTCTACGATTCTAGAGTTGGGCAAACAAGGCTCACACACGTGGAATCTGTAATTATCGAGAGATGCCAGGCAGCATGTAATTCTGCCTTAAGTGGCACTGAATGCATGCAGCGGGAATCCTGGGGCGGGGGGAGGAGTGGCTCAGGGAGAGCTGGAGCAGGTGGGTCTGAGAGGGCCTTAGCAGGACCGGGAGGAGGAGGAGGAGCAGGGAGGGAGGACATCCCCGCGGGGAAGTGACTAAGGAGGCAAAAGCAGAGTAGAGATGCACTTAGCGTTTTTCCTAGTTGCCGTAAATATCCTTTGACCTATAGCTTCCAGCCTGTGACCCCACTGCTCTGTCACCTGCAGTGACAACACAGCAATAATAATCAGCATTCATGGAGCACCTACAGCGCGTCAAGCCCTGTTCTGTTTACAGGCATTATTTCCTCCCCGCCACACTTCTGTAAGGCATGTGGTAAAATCCCCGTAAGCAAACAGAGGCTCAGAGAGGCTAAGGAACTGGCAAAAGGTCACCAAGGTGTCAAGTAGCAGAATCTTGCCTTGCTGGAGGCAAAGGCAACTCCTTCCCTCCCAACCTCCTGCAGCTGTCACCTGCAGACAGACATCCAGACATCTGGATGTTTATTCCCAGACCCCAGGCCCACCAGCTATCCTTCCAACCGCCCCCCCCCCCCCCCCGCAGAGGCCTGGAAGGCTGGGAAAACTGGGAGCTGAGGCTTATGGTCCCCTCCAGCTAGCCTGGCCTCCAGCCCAGCCTGATGGTGAGGGCTGCCATGAGAGCATGGGATGCAGTGGGCCTGGGTGGCCCGGGGCTCACATCCAGAAGGCACCCTGTTCTCAGCTAGAGGCTGTCTGTGCAGCTCTAGTCCCCTGGGTTTCAAGCACCCACTTGCCAGCCTGCTGCAGTGGCTGCAATGTAATTTGTCACTTGTTTGAGGGCCAGGCCTGACAGGGGCCAGACAGGGCTGAGTGTTGCACAAGGAGGGTGATGAAGTCCTGATGCAATTTGCAGGCATCCGAAGAGCCTGGGAGACAGATTGAAATGTCAGCTCTGCTCACAAGGGCTGTCTTCCCACACCCCTAGCCTGTGACAAGGGGTGGGGGAGCTGGGGGCCGGGTAGGGGGAAGCTAGAGCAGAAGGAGGTGAGGACAATTCCCACAGGACCCTGGGCTGTCTAGCACTGCCCGGCTTCCAGCCGACCATGAGGTCAGTTCAAGGAAGGAAATATAACCACTTTGAGGGGGCCGACTCCTTCCTGAATGGGAGGTGGGGAGGAGTTAGGTTGCCCTCTGCCAGCCCCCCAGGCCATCAGACTCGACTGGCCTGTCTGCCCCCATCCGAGCCGCCAGTCGGGTCTCCAGAACATGCCCTAATGGTGTGACTCATAGGTGGGATGGTGCCATAATCCCCCGAGTAAAACCCTGCACAGGCAGATGAGCTCAAGGATCACTCCAATGTGTGAGCCTCGCCCCCAGAAGATGGCGACCGGGCCTGTGTTAGAGGACACACATGGGTGTTGGTGACCAGGAGAGTGTAGGGGAGCAGGGCCTGTCCCTCAAACACATGGCATGGCACACGTGGGCCCTCATTCCCACGTTCTCCCCCACATACGTGTGCCTCCTCACACGTGCTCCCTCATTCGCATGCTCCACAAGATCCACGTGCTCGCCCACACCCACGTGCTCCCCAACTCCCCACGGGCCCCCCCCCCCCCCCCTGCCCCCCCCCACCCGTGTGTTCCCCCCACCTCCACGTGCTCCCCCCCACCCGTGTGCTCCCCCACTCCCCACAGCAGTAGAATCACAACTTTTCCCATGAGACTCTTTATCGTTTTCAAAGCACTTTGACACCCATTATCCTTTCAGATCTCACAAAATCTCAGTAAGGGAGGCAAAGCAGATTGTATTTACTTTCGCTCTACAGATAAGGGAAACTTGCCATCAGAAAAGTTGAGAGTTCCTCTCTGTGTCACACAGTACATCCAAAGCAAAGCCAGGATTCTGGACCAGGACCCCCAATTGCTGGCCTAGTGCTTTATCTTCATGCATAGCATCCCAGGCCCTGCCCCCAGGCTGGAGGAATTCCAGGTGGGCATCTTATAGGAGCAGGCAGGGCTGAGCTGAGGAAAGGGATTGGGGTAGAGCCCCCAGCAGCCCCCAAATGCACTGCCTCTTCAGATTCACCACACCTGGGCCAATCTCCTGGGTCAGGGGAAGAAGAGGGGCTCTTGAGTCCTGGAATCAACTTCCGACTCCATCATTGACTAGTTGAAAGGTCCTTGGGAAAGTCACATGACTTTTTGAACCCCAGTTTTCATGTGTGGAATGGGATGGTCGTACCCACTGGATAGGGTTGTAAGGATTAAGTTAGATCCCACCTGTAAGGGGCTCAGCACAGCTGAGCAGTCTTCTTCCCCTTTCTTGGGGAGACCTGGGCTCTACCTTGGTAAGACTAATGCTTTTGCCATGGTGCTAGCTGGCTGTCGACCCACCTTAGCCTCAGCTCTTTCAGGGCTCTGCCTAGGAGGCACTGTCCCTGGGAGCCACCCTCTCTCTGGGCCAGGTTCTACAGCTGGTAGCAGCAGAAAGCAGGGTCAAGAGTTTGAGGGGCCACGGCCCAGTCTGGCCTATGAGGGAGCTTCCTGAACCCAGGAGAGGAGACACGCTCAGAAGGACTGGCTGGGAGTGCCTTTCTGCATCATCTGGATCATCTCCTTTTACAGAGAAGGAAACAGTTCCAGAGAAGGCCAGGGGCTTTGCCAGTCACCACGGGACAGGCTGCAGAGGCAGGCTGGAAGCCCAGTCCCACAGGACAGCCTCTGTGCCTGTCCACAAGCCCTTATGGGACAGGGTCTACTTTACAGGTAGGGAGAGGGGTCTAAATGTGTGGGGCCAGACCTGCCTGCACCTCTGTAATTCCTCTCAGACGAGCCCTCCAGGAGCCAGAAAAGAGGAGGTTGCCCAGAAATCTCACCCCGTTGACCCACCACCCTACTGGTGTCCCCATCAGGCCTGTTCCTGGTGTTCTGGCTATCAACCTGGCAGCCGGCCTCTGGCGTGGGAGAGCTGTGTTCCAATGGGGCCACCTGGGGCACTAGGGTAGGGACTATGGGCAGCTGTGCCAAGCTCCAGATGGTACAGGGAGCAGCCAAACCAAGATGGAGACTGGCAGTGGGAAGGCTCTTGGAATGCCAAGTGCAATGAGAGGCACATGCCAGGCCCATTTGAAAGGCCTGGAGCCCTCAGGGGAGAACGGCTGCCTGAAGCAGGGATGGGACCCACATGGGCCAGGCAGCTTGTGCCCACCCATCCTGAAGGGGCTTTTCTAGACCTCTCAAGGGAGCCTAGGCCAGTGCCTGACCCCAGCTGAGACAGGCAAACCTCCTCTGATGACAGAGGACCTGAGCGGGCTTCTTCCCTGTGAGCAGCTCGGACCCTCGGCCTCAGCGCACAAATCACTGCAACAACCTGAGGGGAGGAGGGGGCAGGGGAAGAAGCAGGTTATGAGGGGCTGGAGTCCAAGACACGGAGAGCTGGGGAGTTAGGGGTTCTGAAACCCATGAACCTGTTCCTCATGAAAAGGGGCCCCAGACTTTAGCTGGAGCTGTGGTCACATTACATGGCAGGGGCTCAGCATGGTGTCAGGGAGGTGATTTGTGGGTTCTTCACATGCTCCTCTCCTCCCATGGTTTCCCCCCCCCCCCCCCCGGATTCTGTCCCTTCCACCCACCCTGCACCGTTCCTGTGAATTCGCAGAGGGGCAGGCAGGGGCTCACCCACAATGGAGGGAAGCCACAAGCCTTTCCCCAAGTCTGAAAGAGCCAGGGCAGGCACCTTCTCGGCCTTCCAGCCGCCTCACCCATTCCATCCCCCACTGCCCAGGGCGGACAGGCGCTGCTTTCAGGCCCAGCCTCTGGCAGGAGTGCGATCCGGAAGGCCCTAGGCTCACCTCCCGCTCCTGGGCAATAAAAGTCACCCGTCCCATCCTGCCCTGGTAACCGTCAACGGCCAGTCCGCCTTAGCCACCGCTTCCCAGTCCAGGCGTGTCAGCTGACCTCTCCTTTGTCAGGCCCCAGAGCAGGTATCACGGCCTCCGGAAGGCCCCCCTCCGACCCTCCAGGCTGGTGAAGTGCGCCCCATCCCGGCATTCCCACTCCGTCCCAACGACGCTGAGCGTTCTCTGGTCAGTGCTAAGGACTTCCGTCTCCCCCAGGAACTGTGTCCAGCTCCTGGCACAGAGCCTGCCACGTGGTAAGTGCTCCATTTATATTTGCAGAGCAAATTCATTCATCAAAAGGCGCTAGTTAACGGTTAACTGAGTGACCTTGGGCAGTTCCCTTTCTTTGCTGGCCTCAGTTTTCCCAACTCTCCGTGGATAGTGGTCTGCAGTATCAGTGATTCAGGTCCCCAAGTGACCGGGGTGGTGTGGCCAGGAGGCCCAGTAGGGGCAGGGGTTGCAGATCCAGCCCCGGAAGGAGATGAACCGTAATCCTTGCTTCAGCCCTGGCTGATGCTGTCCCTCCCCATCGCCGGCCCTTCCTGCCGTGGCCTCAGACTCTAATTCAGGCCATCAGGGCCAACAGGAGCCCCCAAGGACACGGTGGTGGGGTAGAGGGGGGCGCTAGCTTCTGCCTGCCACATTTCCAGACGGCAGTCCAGGACTGTGGCAGGTCTTCATCTCAAGGTTGCCTGGTAACAGTTTTTGCATTCTGATGAAAAAAAAAATGTGGCAGCACCAGACAACAGACACAGGGCTTGTAAGAGGGGGGTGGGCATCCAGGGTGGGGCTGGTGCCTGGGGCCAGGGCCGGAGCAGGCAGAGCCAGCATCTTGCCCCACTGTGGTGAGTACCAGGACTGGGCCCAGCCTGGCCCGGTGTGCTTCGGTGGGTTTCGGTGGGAATGGTGGGGAGCCAGGTGCAGCCAGCTCAGGCCTGCAGGAGGGACCCCACCCTGGCATCTGCCCCTTCCCACCCCCTTCCCCACACCTGCAGCTGGCGCCTTCCACCCGGTGAGCCACAGCCGGTGCCACCTCTCATTAGGTGATGATTTTACATTAATTACCTTAATTAAGCAGCACTGAGTGCTAATGCCTCGGGGTGGGGGGGGTGGCTGCTCCTAATTACCCTCCCCACCAGCCCAGAGCGAGGGGTCCAGGGCTTGGCAGAACAGGAGCAAACAGTCACAGAAGGAAGGGGAGGGGCCCACCCGTGGTGGGAGAGGGACCCCCTCCTCTGGGCCTGGCTCAGAGACCTGGCCTTGACATCCCCAGGACAGGTGTAGCTGGCTCCAGGCCCAGAACCAGGGGCTTTGGGATGGGTGGGGAACTGGCCGAGAGCTGGGAGCAGCCAACACTGCCCTGTTTCCCGGACTCCTCCTCTGCCCCCTTCCCTCTGCTCACCAGTCACCTGCCTGATGGCCTCAGCTAGGCCGAATGCCTGCCCCTACCTCCATTCTGTCTCCAGACTCAGGCTACCGTCACCTCCTTCCTTCTTGCCTCCATCCATTTGTGCATTCATTTAGCCAGTCCACGGAGACCCCATTCTGGGCCTTGTGCTCCAGGGTACCCCTCAAGGAGCTCACAGTCTAGCTAGGGATGTGGCTGGCTATTAACAAACTCGTACGATGGGGCATCAGGAGAGAAGTCACAGAGAAAGTGACACCAAGAGTCCCAGGAAGGGATAGTGGGATGACTCTTCTGGGCAGAGGGACCAGCACATACAGTTGGGGCTTGTGGGGAAAGTGGGCTCGGCCCATCCAGTTAGCTGCAAGCTGCTCAATGCCAAGTGGGGGATGAGGGGTTTGGGGGGGAGATTATGAGGGAGGGAGTGGCTAGACGCGGGCCAGAGGGACTGGCCTTGGTTCAGAGGCCTCTGGGGAGACGTGGAGGGGAGGACTGATTTCTTATGGGAAAAATGACTGCAGTGGAGGGGCGCCTGGCTGGCTCAGTCTGTAGAACGTGCGACTCTTGATCTCGGGTCATGAGTTCAAGTCCCATGTTGGGCAGAAGAGCTTACTTAAATTAAATTAAATCAAATTAAATTAAAGTAAAATAATTAAAAAAAAAGGGACTAAGGTGGAGACAGAGGATAGTGGGGGCAAGCAAGACTCAGGGAAGAGAGAGAGAGAGAAGGGCCAAGTTGGCCTCCCCGTGCACCGCTCCAGGCGCCATCCACATTGCACGGTGGTAGCCCTGCGCCATGTTTCTGAAGGGTTAGGGTGTCCATCTCTGAGGTCAGGAGTGGTGTGGCAAGTGGGTTTGGGGGAGCAAAAGGGAAGAGTTGGCTTTGAGGCACGTGGAGGGGGAAGAGGCTGTGGGACATCCATGAGGACCTGCAGGCTCAGGGTTGAGAATTAAGAGAGAGTCTTAATCCCAAGGGAGGGATGAGATGGCCCAGGGAGGCAGGGGGCAAGAGACGGGGGCTGTGGGTCTGACTCGCCCACCAGATGGTTCTCTCTGATGGTGCACCATGTCTGTCTTCCTCAACTCTATAGCCCAGGAGCCAGCACAGGGCCTGGCCCACAGGAGCTGCTCAGGGAGTATTTGCTGAAGGAACGAGTGAGTGAATAATTCAGTCAATGAGGCCCCTGGCTCTTTCAGGCCCAACCACGAAGCCCTGCATTCTCGCTCCCCAGCCACATAAATTCAGACACTCACCCACTCCCCTGCTCATCCAAGAGTAGAGCCCTCCTCAAGCTCTCCTGAGCTCCTGATCAAGCCCCTGGGAACAGTAGCTCTTCACTCCCTGGTGCGTAAGGCAGAAGCTGGCCAAGTTTTAGGCCCAGCCCTGGCTCTAGGCCAACTGATGCCCCTGAGCATCCCCACGTCTCCCAGTAGCCAGCACCTTTCTGGAAAAATAACACACTAGCTCCAGCTTTGTCCCTATGGGAACCAGGTCTCTTACCTTGATTTCTACACCGTAGCCAGGGTAGACGGAAATGTAGTAGAAACAGTCCAGGCCGACATCAGTAGGCGAGCTGGGGGCCATGGGGGAGTCCAGAGAGCCCTCTGGGCCTGAGAAATTCCAGCTACAAGGGCCTGGGAGGCAGGAGGAAATACAAGGCTAAGCCCAGCTCTGGTGATGTTGGTTCAACTAAGGCTGACTGGTGTGTGTGTGTGTGTGTGTGTGTGGTGAAGCCCAGCTCTTGGGGTGTCTATTTCCCTGTTGAAAGAAGGGGACCACCTTTTCCTGAGCACCTACTAGGTGCATTCTTATCTCAGTTGTCACAATGGCTCAATGAGGCAGGTCCTACCACCATTTTACAGATGAAGCTCGGAGAGGTTCAGCAAAATTCCTAGGGTCTGTTATCATTGCTTCCAATCGGGATTTGAACCCAGGCCATCCAGTTCCCACCCACCTGCCTCCTGCAGGCTGGCCCTTGGTGCCAAAGGGCAAGGCAGGCTGGCCCAGTGACGGGGCAGAGGACTATAGGGGCTCCGTGGTTCCCCCATCCCCCATTTCCAGATCTGCAAGCCAGCGGGGAGCTGACCTGGTGGCTGGACGGTGGTGATGGTGGTAGTGATGATGGTGGTGGTGGTCTCATCGTCCCCTGATGCTGTAGAGGTCGTGATGGCTCCCTCCGTCCCGAGCCCCAGGGTCTGGGACCTGACCTCTGGAGCCCATGGCCTGCCCATATCTCCAGGACCCTCTTGGGTCGGAGTCCATGCTCTGCTAGGGGGTGTGGTACTGGGCCTTTCCCCGGGGCCTGGGCTGGGCACGGGAGGTAGGGGGGCTGCGATATGAAGCACAGGGGGCTCTGACTCCAGGCTCCAAGGTCTTTCTCTGGCCTGGGGCTGAGTGGGTGCTGCAGCCATGGCTGGAGTGGGGCTGGTGAAGACAGGACGGCTGTCCTGGTTGGCCAGGCGGGGAAGGGCACTCGGGGTGAATGGTGTCGGTGGGTCAGGCTGGAAGGGCAGTGCTGGCCTCATCGCCTCCTCGCCGCCTTCCAGGCCTTCTTGTAAGAATTCCTCGAGTAGTGGGTGGTGGTTGAGCAGCTTCAGGGTAGGGGCTGTGGTGACGAAGTGGACGCCCCGTTCTGGCTGCTCTGGTGTGGGGGCCACTGTCAGCTCCCCATCCGTCTCCTCGATGCCTGGGGCCTGCCCTTCCCTCGTGGGTGGGGCCTCTGAGGAAAGTCCTGAAATAATAACGAATGATCAGAGGTTCTCTCCCTGCCCCACAGTGAACAGCATCACACCCCGTCCAGATCGTGGGAGAAGATCCGCCTCTCTGTTGACAGGGAGGCTTGGGGAGCATGCTCACTGTTGAGAATCAGGAGCTATAGAATTTGAGAGCTGGAAATGAGATGATATCACCTATTTCCAGGATGTCACATGAGATATCCTCTCTCCTCCAACAACAGGGGTGGACACTACTAATTTACCTTTCCACTATTTCCTGCTCTTCTCACATTTGACCTCAGAATCCTTCACAAAACAACACTCCAGGCAGCCATGTTTGATACCTCAGACCAACATGAGAGATAAATATTTGCCATTCCCAATCAGGGCCTTATTTGATAGATGAAGAAACAGGCCAAAGAAAGGAAGTGGCTTTAATCAGTGAGTTGAAGACCTGAGGTACAACCCTTAGCAAGAAGGCCATCCCCCAGTGACTTTTCTGCCTGAAATTATAGGTCATTCAAGTTCATTTTCTATTCTCAGTGAAGCTGCTGGTCATTAGTCTCAGGAAATGCTTCATATATTGGGGGTTTTGTTTTCTTTTTTCTTAATTTTATTTATTTATTGGAGAGAGAGTGGGAGCACAAGTGGGGTTCGGGGCCGAGGGAGAAACAGACTCCCCGCTGAGCAGGGAGCCTAATGTGGGACTCGATCCCGGGACTCTGGGATCATGACCTGAGCCAAAGGCAGATGCTTAACTGCCTGAGCCACCCAGGTGCCCTGGGGTTTTGTTTTAGATTCCTTCATGGATACATGACATCTCTGTTAGGGTCCCATTATGTCCTGTCTCTCTCACTTCTCGGAAAAAATCATTTCTTTTATCTTTTTTTTTTTAAATCCTTTTAGAACAGTGATGTGAATAAAGGGGGAAGAGCCAAGCTCTAGAGTAAAGCATATGTGGCTTCAAATTCCAAATCCATTCCACTTCCAGGCTGTGTGACCTCAAGCAAATAACCTAAACTCTCTGAAACTTAGTCTACTCATCTGTAAAATGGAGTTTCTTTTTTAGGATTAACTGAGGTTGATTGACATTACTTTTTTTCCTTATTTGAGACATCGCCCTGAATTCCCATTATCTTTCTTTCTTTCTTCCCCCCCCCCCCATTATCTTTCTCATGGTACTAGCCAGGGTCCATCTAGGGCAGGGTCTAAAGCAGAGATAGAACAGTCACCCCCAGTCCATGGCAGACACTGTTAACCAATGTTGGGTATTTCTTGCTGAGCCACATGGGACTTCAGAATCCTTCTCAACACAGTTATCCAGGCAGCCACTACTAGTCAATTACATAGGCCACGGAAGATGAAGCTTGGTTGCTCTCACTGGTTTGAGGTACAGATTGCTCTGCTATTGATTATTTTGACTTTTTCAACCACATAGCTGGACAGATGATGCATATTCTGCTTGTGGCCCACTAGGCTCTCTAGATCCTTAACTGCCAGGAAAAGGTCAATGGATGCTGGCTCCAGATTCAGCTCATGTAGAATGTTGCCAGCTCTGAGAAGGCTGGGAGGATATTCTGATTCTAACAGCTCTCAAAATGGCTGCATGAGCACTTGACGGGAAACACAGCCAGGACGTTAACAGTTTGCAAGAAGAAGGTTGGTTCCTCTGAATGTCTGATGGTGGGGCTGTCATTCCACAGGCTCACACCCACCCCATGGATTGGCAGGCATGAGGAAGTGGCAGATGGCCTACATTCTGTTCAGGAGCCCATAGCAGCTCTGATGTGTCAGACAAATGGGAGGAGGGAGGAGACGGAGTGGGAGAGGTGGGTGCAGGTCAGAGGGCTGGCTCTTCATTGCTCTGGGTCAGAGGGGCCCTGGTGCCCCAAAGCCCCGAGAAAACAGGACCAACCCTTATCTCCTGAGATGCCCCCCAAAGCAGCCCATCTGTGCCTTGGCATTCTGTGTCAGTCATCGACAACACAATGCCCAAACTACATGCCCAGCCAGGCCAATACCCCCCGGAGCAGATGGTCTGCCAGTGCCCTGTGTCTTTCATTTGAGTCAACAATGAGGGTCCGGGCAGTGCCTATGACGTGCCAGGACAGGGCTCCTCTCTTTGCCCATCCCAGATGTCACACGGTCTTTCCAGGTGAGCAGAGACTGATCTTAACATAGCACAAGGAAGAAGAGCCTTTCTCATCACATAGACTAAAGACCAAGTGTCCCTTTCCAGGATTGCCCCATAAGAGATGTGGCCTGTGGCTCCCGGGGGAGGTACCTATGGGATTCTTCCCTGGGGGAGGGAGGGCAAAGAGATCCTCTGTCTCAGGAAGGGACCGCAGCGTGCACAGGTCCTCCCGCTGGCTGCCAGGTGGGTGCTGGGCAATGGAGCGGAGCTAATGGGCACCTCCCGTCACTGTCGATTGCACTGATTGTGTTATCTGGGGGGACTGAGCACTCGGTTAAATGGGATCGAGACAGCATACCAAACGAGCAAACTGATTCCGCAATCAGCTGCCACTTGGTCCCGGAGGGTGCTACCCACTGTCAGAGAGGGTAAGATAATTTCCGGGAGACAAGCCATTTCTGGGAAGAGGGCATCTCCAGATATCCTGGGTGACTCTGATGGAAGCCCGAGGCCCTGTGACCTGCCCTCCCTGCCACCAGGCTCCTCAGGTTCTCTGCCGGGGCTGAGTTCAAAGGTGCAGAGACTGACAGAGAGGGAGCGTGTGATGCCGGGCATAGTGAAAGGGGGTGTCAGGGACCCACATGCTCAGTCAGGCTGTTCTCAGATCTTGTATTATTTCATTGATATGGCAACTCCACGAGATGGGAATTACAAAGAACCTGAAGCCTAGAGAGGTGGGGTGAGGACTCGCCTCACCACCCAGTGGTGGAGCTAGGGTTTGAGCCTCTGCCGATCTGGCTTCGGAGCCTTAGTCTTCCCAGGATACTGGGCTGCCTCACAGGAGAAGGAGAAGGAGAGTGGAGCTGTCCAGCGGAGAACCCCCTAGCCGGCTGGGGAGACTAAGGCTCAGAGAGAGTATGGACTTGTCCAAGGTCTCACACAATTTGGAAGTAGACCTGGGGCCAGAATTTCTAGCATCTGGAACCTGAGTCGAGCCTGACCTGGTCTGGACTCTCAGGAAGCCTCTGGCTGGGACCCAGAGAGCACCCACCCCGTGCCCAAAGCACATCTGAGTCTGGACCCCAAAGCAGAAACCAAAAACACTGGTTTCTCCGGGCAGGGGCACTGTGTCCCACATCCCTGCATTCAGATGTCAGCGCTGCCATTTGAAACTCCCTTGAGCCCAGGAAAGTTGCCTCTCGGAGCTTTTGTGTCCTCAGCTGTAAAATGGGCACTTTGGAGGGGTTTGAGGAGACGTTTGCTGCTTGCTCTAAATTGTAGTTTCGAGGGAAGCACTGAGGGAGAGACCACAGGGTGGGGGCCTGGCAGCACCCACCCACCCCTGTCAGGGCAACACTGAGGCAGGCCTGGGGTGGGAAGAGAACTGCCCCGGACCAGGCCTCTGCTGTCTGAGGGATCGTGTTCCCTGGTGGGTGGCAGTGTGTGTGACCCCGAGCGTGTCCGCATCCTCATCTGTTAAGCGAGGATATTACTGCCCCCGGCCCGCAAAGGGCAGCTACCTCTAAGGCCTGCGTGTAGGAGGTGGACAGGTCCCCCACGATCCCCACCTGTCCAATCTGCCTGCTGCCAGAAGGCAGGAATGCACTCCCGGGGCTGCGCCTCTCTCCTCTCCTCCAGGAGGGACGCAGGCCCCGGGGCTTCTTCCTTTAAGAGGGCTGGGGCCGGGAAACACCCCTCTCCTCCCCGCCACCGCCATCCCCACCGCGGAGGAGCCCCGGAGCTCCCCCGCAGCCCCCCCCCCCCCGCCCCCGGCCCGGCGTGGCCCTGCCGCCGCCTGGGCCCTCCCCCCGCATTAGCTCTTAAGCTATGCAAATACACATCGGAGGGAGCCCTGTTTAAAGTATTTAGATGAAATGAAAAAAGGCTTTCATCGGCACTAATGAGCCATTCAGGATGCCTCCCCGGTGGATTCTCTCCCGCTCCCGCCTCCCGGCCCGCGCCGCCCCCCTCCCCCCCACCGTGGCCCCTCTTGGGATTGGAGGCCACTCCCCCGCCAGGCCCAGACTGGGCCTCCCAGGCAAGGCCACCTGCCCTGCCCCCTGCTCCCCAGGGCCCAGCTTCGTGGGGGAGAGATGGGAGTCCGGTGCTCCACCCCTGACAGCCCGGGATTGGATGGGGTGGGGGTGGGGGGTTGTCTAGCCTCTGCTTAGGGGAAGCTAGAACGACTGTGGACTTTTCTTCATAGCATCCAACTAGGAAGGTGTTATCGGCCTTGTCTTATAGATGGGGAAACTGAGGCTCGCTGAGGCCCAGGAGGCTGCCGAGGGCTTACAGTGCTGGGGGGCTGTGGAGCTGGAATTGGTTTGTGGAGGCAGTGATGAAGGATTGGGGTCACAATGCAGTGGCCTTGCCTGGGGGACCTGCTGCACCACCGGGAACAGACTCCAGATGCCACCTCAAGGCCAGCTGGACCGCCCCATTTGGTGCTATTGTTTCTGCAAATCTTTCTGCACCAGCCAGCCAGAAAACCTCAGGTTCCAATCCCAAATCGATGCCTCACTGGCTCTGTGACTTGGGCAAGGGCTGGCCCACTTGGGCCTCTGTTTCTCCCTCTGTGGAGTGGGGACATCTGGGTTTGGTGAGGGCCGTTTAGAGACAGGCCTCTGCTCATATCTGCCGGCCCCACCCCATCCTCTGCAAGGGCAGAAGGGGCCCCTGTCCCTCTGATAGTTCCTGCAGAGGGCCACAGTTGCTGGCCTCCCAGGGAGGAAGCCACAGCCGGCACAGGGAAGGGGTGCCCAGAGTTCTGAGATGAGGTCAGCCTTGATCCCTACCTTGTGGTAGCACCAGCTCTCAGCTGGGGTTGTGGAGGGGGGGGCATGAC